CATCATCACCTCCTTCAACTACTTCTTCATCGTCCCCTTCATCGCTTTCACTGCTGCTACTGCTGCTGCTACTTCCACCGTCATCTCCACCATCACCGTTGCATCCAGCTTTATCGGGCCAATCACAGACTTCCAATTCTTTGTTGAAATGTAAATCAGATGGGCAATCGAATTTGACGGGTTTTCCCCAATCGCATTTATAAAAGACGGTGCAATCGTTATCATCTACCAAGAAATCAACTTTCTCCGGGTTCATTGTGTCAGGGCATTCGCCAACTGGGTCGGCTTTGGCATATTGGAAAGCCAATACAAAGGTGACACATAACAAGAAAGTAACTAAAATATAGAAAATAAAGTTTTAGCCACGTCTATTAAATTAATATCGTTATAAAGTTACCTTTCATTTTGATGCTTAACCAAATTGCTGTAATCGAACAATTCGAATAATAATTGAGGAAGGTACTATTTGATTTTATAGCAATGTTAACCGCAAAAAAATCGTAGATAACTATTTTGATAATTGCCAATTAATTAGTGTTGATAGGTACAGATATTAATCTTTACTATCAATCCACTAGTTACATACATATTGAGTATAAAAAATAGGAATTTGAGTTACAGGAAATAATAGAATCAATGAAATTTTCTAATAGTAATTAATGATGATAATATTTTGATAATTGCCAATTAATTAGTGTTGATAGGTACAGATATTAATCTTTACTATCAATCCACTAGTTAGATACATATTGAGTATAAAAAATAGGAATTTGGGTTACAGGAAATAATAGAATCAATGAAATTTTCTAATAGTAATTAATGATGATAATATGATAAGATTTCAATGTCAAAATAAATTTTCAAAAGAGTTCTTTGTTCCCATTTATTTAAAATTAATTAAACATATATAGGCGATAAAATCAATATAAACGGTTTATGGAAAAATTCCTAAAACGAGTCTGAAGATTTAAATTTTTTAAACAATTTCCGAATTGTCAAAAACTGATTTAGTATAACTTAATCGAAGTTTAGCGGTACACATCTTGTTGGAATTGAGTTGGGTCAACATTATCGGGATGAGGCCGTTATGAAAGGAATGATATCATTTTGAAAAAATGTAAATATCGCTCTTCAGTTAAGGTTTCCTAAAAAGGTAAGAACCCAGAACCTTATCCCGTACTATTTCGCTCTAAAATTGATTTTTTGCGGATATTTGCTTTGCGACTTTCTTGTCTAATGTGGATTTTGGGTAGCCCAATACCGACAACTTTGTCTATTTAGTTGTACAAAGTCTCCATCGTCGTTGCAAAATTGTTGTTGTAAAAACTACGACTCATTGCTCGTGAATGAGATTTACGTTATAGGTATGATATTTTGGTGTTTTTAAAATTTTGTGAACCGTTAATAATGAGGGTAACATGGTAACATGAGCGTTTTTCTGCCCAGCGAAAACCACGTTTTATTGAACCTCTCCTGAAATATTTATTTATTACTTATTATTTAATATTTATTACACAGCTAGGCTTACCATACTGTGAATAATGAGTTGACGATTGGGATCTTGCATTAAAGAGGTCAACTACTTACTAAATCAGTTGTTGACACATAGGAATTTGTTTAAAATACTTGGTTACCATAGTTTCTCATGGTCACTGTTATTTTTACTATGTCAATCAAATTTGTAGAAGTTAAACTTTAAAGTAATTTTTCTCGAAAATATTCTTATGTATCCAATATTAATATTGACTGTACTTAATTCGAAACTTTTATCAAATTACCCAAAATTGCTATGTTACCATTTTGTTGATATTTTGATGTAAATTCATTCGATTGTGATCATGCACCAGTCACTCGTATTAATGAAGTTGGGAACATACGTTTAATTTTGGATACTGTCACTTATGGCGTTGCTTTCGATTACAGAACCCATTTTGGCAATTTTTTGAGTTGTCAGTTTGACTGGTTTGACCAGGTTTGACATAGTAATATTTTTGATTGCGTTGTATTGTGTACAGTGGAAGAGTTGCTAGCGATTTGAAGAAAAAGCAATTTGTTGTTGTTGCTTATAATAAGTACACTTCTGATTGATGCGGAAGCAGCATTGGATAAATGCAATAAAATTAAAAGGAAACGATGTGGTAAAAATAATAATAAAAAAATTAAAGAATAAAGTCTTTGTTATTCATTTAAAGACTTTTTAATAACCCAAATAATAATTTAATACCTAGTCATGTTTTTTTGATGTTTCTTGTAAAACATTGTAAACGACAAAATTTAATGTGTTTAAAGTTTTGCACAGTTGGTAAAGTTTTGTCGCCAAGCAATGTTTTCGTAAAAAATCATCAATAAACCTTTTAAATAACAAATTTAATTTATATTTCACGCCTGCCAATGATTTCAGCGCTGTAGGTGACAGTATTCAAAACTAATTGCTCATTTCAATCAAACGTTTATAGTTGCCCATCTATATAACAAATATATTATATCTTATCTATGATTGTGATTCGATTACAAACTTTCAGCAAGACAACACGTCTTTGCGTTTTGATTTTTTAAAAGAGTTTTATTTATATAAACTACTACTCTTTAAAGGCCCTCTTTCATATTCCGTAATAAAAATGGGCGATTGTCATTTGAAACAAATATCGCAAAAGTCATAATTCATTTAAGAATGGCGGAAAAAATTTAACTTCGACACCAAAAAATTGCAAAAAATTTAAATCTTTAGACACGTTTCAGGCATTTTTACATAAACATTTATATTGATTTTATCGCCTATATACGCTACTTTACGGACCTACTGTATAACGTTTTGCATAAAATACGATATATAGAATTGTTCTATCATAGCAATTTGGCTTACAGTAAATATCAAAATGAAAGGTAAGTTGATTACAATTCAAAATAATAAACTTAGCTGTAACTTTATTTTTTATATTTCAGTTACATTCTTGTTACGTGTCATCTTTGTCCAATACATTACTATATGCCAAAGCCGACCTAATTGATGATTTTGATAATTGAATTGTTGAAGAAGATTCTGGTAGCTCCAGCTCTAGTTCTAACTTTGAAAGTAATTATGAAAATGGCCTAGACAAATGCCTAAATGATCCATGCCCTAAAGTAAATGGTGATTTCCGTCATTATTTTGCCCACCCCGAAACCTGTGGAAGATTCCCAGATGGAGATCATTTCAAAACCTCACTTAACTTTTGCGATTGGTCAGCTAATGCAAGATGTGAATAATACATTTATTTTCATAAAAATGTTATTTAATGAAGCAATAAAACATGATTATGTATTAATAATTAGATTCTTAAACAGTACATTATGATATCACCACAAATAAGACAACTCGAGTAGAATAGTTTACTTTTAAATTTCGATGATGAAGATTACAACAGATAGGTGTTTCACACAAATCTCTAATTCTGTGATACAGTCTTTGGAAAGCATTACGCGACAACCTAATCACATGAAAGAATGATTTTGACCTGTATAAGGCCGGGTTTATACAGACGATTTAGCTGTAAATTTAAATTTAAAAATTTAGCTGTAAGAGTTAAATGTATTGAAATCCCATGTATCGTTTATACAAAGCTGTAAGATTTAGCTGTAAACATAAAGTTGGTCAACTTTTCTAAATTTAAAGCTTCATACATGCGCAAGACGACCTCAATCAGCTGTATCCCAAGGTCTATAGAACATAAGGTTACCCAATACCGATTCTCCTCCTCTGAGAGGCAAGGTGGGTCAGTGACGTAGCTGGTTCTATGAACAACACAACGCCCTTGTTTATAGATATATCTATAAACAAGGACAACACGATGCGAGGTTTAAATATTTTATATAGACTGTACCACAGTATAGGCACGTTGGCACGTATCTATCTTTTATTCTGACTGTATCGAACCAGTGACGTCAATTTGCGGGGTAATAATCGATACTACAGAGGCATAGGGAATGAGGTAACCTTATGTTCTATAAACCTTGGCTGTATCCAATGATCGGCCAGTGTAAATAGCGCGTTCTAACCTAACCTCAACTGTTGTTTATTTCTGTGCCAACAAAATGCGTGAATTCGATGGAAAATTAATTAAAATTGTTGAGAACTATCGATATATTTACGATAAAAAATGTTCTGAACATAAAGATAACATATTGATAGAAAATGACAACACAAAAACTAATAATATTTTGTTTCATGAGGTTGCGATTCTGTAAATCTTAAATTCTGTATAAATCAATTTTTTTCTTAAAGCTAAATAAAATCCTTAAATCTAAATCTTTAAATTTAAATTTACAGCTAAATTCTGTATAAACCCGGCATAAATTATTTAATGAAATCAATCTTCCACTTCAAAGTGACGAATTGATGAAAAAAAATGTTACAGCTGTTTTAGTAGTCAAACTGCTGTTACACAAGAAAAATTTCCCTGACTTATCAGCAACACCCTTCAACAATTACGACTTGCTTGTTTACTACCAACGTTTGGAGAACCTCCACAGTGGTTTCAAAGATCGATTGCAGGACATTTTAAAATTGGTAATACCACGGTGGTATCGGATCCTTTTTCAAATGTCAACACTGCAGGAGCAGGATCACCCAGCTGGAAGAACAACTTGTAGAAGTGGCAATAAATAAGTAAATTTTTATTTACTTATTTAATCAAATTCAAAAATGGCTACCGGTCACGTGGTGGGCTTGATGGACAATATTCATTTTCGTAGAAGAGCAACAATCAGATAATCTTTTATCGTACTCCACGTACGATAAGAGATTTTAAACAACATTTTCTGCGCTTAATACGCTTATTAATTTAAGCACAAATTACATCTTCCTTGGATCTTCTTGGATATGCCATTTGAACGGATATGTTATATCTTCACTGCAAAATTATATGGATTGTTATGAAACCATTCAATAAAAGTTATGGCTACAACCTATGTTTTTTTACAACCTACTAACGCCCTTAGACATGGTTATAAACAAAAACAAATTATTAATACATAATCATGTTTTATTTAATTTATATTTCTTTAAATAACATTTTTATGAAAATAAATATATTATTCACATCCTGCATCAGCTGGCCAATCGCAAACATTAAGTTTGGTGTTGAAATGAAGTCCATCTGGGCATGGCATATCATAGGCAACTCCCCAGTCACATTGGCAGAATCTACCACAGGTTTCAGGGTGGGCAAAGTAATGAGGGAATTCACCATTTTCTTTTGGGCATGGATCATTTGGGCATCTTCCTTGACCGTTTCCATCGCCACTTTCGTCACTTTCGGAGCTAGAACTAGAGCTGGAGCTACCAGAATCTTCTTCAACATTGTCATCTCCTCCTTCAACTACTTCTTCATCGTCATCCCCTTCATCGCTTTCGCTACTGCTACTGCTGCTGCTACTTCCACCGTCATCTCCACCATCACCGTCGCATCCAGCTTTATCCGGCCAATCACAGACTTCCAATTCTTTGTTGAAATGTAAATCAGATGGGCAATCGAATTTGACGGGTTTTCCCCAATCGCATTTGTAGAAGACGGTGCAATCGTTATCATCTACCAAGAAATCAACTTTTTCCGGGTTCATTGTGTCAGGGCATTCACCAACTGGGTCGGCTTTGGCATATTGGAAAGCCAATACAAAGGTGGCACATAACAAGAATGTAACTAAAATATAAAAAATAAAGTTTTAGCTAAGTATATTAAATTAAAATCGTTGTAAAGTTACCTTTCATTTTGATGCTTAACCAAATTGCTGTAATCGAACAATTCGAATAATAATTGAGGAAGGTACTATTTGATTTTATAGCAATGTTAACCGCAAAAAAATCGGAGATAACTATTTTGATAATTGCCAATTAATTAGTGTTGATAGGTACAGATATTAATCTTTACTATCAATCCACTAGTTACATACATATTGAGTATAAAAAATAGGAATTTGAGTTACAGGAAATAATAGAATCAATGAAATTTTCTAATATTAATTAATAATTCCAATAATAGTAATTAATGATGATAATATGATAAGATTTCAATGTCAAAATAAATTTTCTAAAGAGTTCTTTGTTCCCATTTATTTAAAATTAATTAAACATATATAGGCGATAAAATCAATATAAACGGTTTATGGAAAAATTCCTAAAACGAGTCTGAAGATTTAAATTTTTTAAACATTTTTAAACAATTTCCCAATTGTCAAAAACTGATTTAGTATAGCTTATCGAAGTTTAGCGGTACGCATCTTGTTGGAATTGAGTTGGGTCAACATTATCGGGATGAGGCCGTTATGAAAGGAATGATATCATTTTGAAAAAATGTAAACATCGCTCTTCAGTTAAGGTTTCCTAAAAAGGTAAGAACCCAGAACCTTATCCCGTACTATTTCGCTCTAAAATTGATTTTTTGCGGATATTTGATTTGCGACTTTCTTGTCCAATGTGGATTTTGGGTAGCCCAATACCGACAATTTTGTCTATTTACTTGTACAAAGTCTCCATCGTCGTTGCAAAATTGTTGTTGTAAAAACTACGACTCATTGCTCGTGAATGAGATTTACGTTATAGGTATGATATTTTGGTGTTTTTAAAATTTTGTGAACCGTTAATAATGAGGGTAACATGGTAAAATGAGGGTTTCTCTGCCCAGCGAAAACCACGTTTTATTGAACCTCTCCTGAAACATTTGGTCGGCCAGACTTCGAGCGATCTTTTTGATGCCCATCCTTTTTAAATTTAGCCACAATTTAGTCACAGCTAGGCTTACCGTACTTTGAATAATGAGTTGGCGATTAGGATCTTGCATTAAAGAGGTCATCTACATACTAAATCAGTTTTTAACACATAAGAAATTGTTTAAAATAATTGGTTACCATAGTTTCTCATGGCTACTGTTATTTTTACTATGTCAATCAAATTTGTAGTAGTTAAACATTAAAATAATTTTTCTCGAAAATATTCTTATGCAACCAAAAATATGCAAACGTATATTGTTTTTCAAACCCTCCAGAATAAAATGGACTAGATAGAAATTTGTTTCAAATCAATCTGTGCATTTTGAGCAGTATTTGTTAGAGTATATTTTTGCTTATTTTATCTATACGAGCATACATTGCATATTTTCAAATTATATAACATTTTTGGAAATAAATGAATATTTTTAATGCATATTTTCAAAATTTTATTTTGCAATAAGTTTCAATTTGATATAAAGTTACCGTAAAGTTATTCAATTCTTTAAAGAATACTAAATTATCGACATTCGAAAAAAGAAATCTTTAGTTTACCATGGTAATTCCCTGTTCGACCGCCGCGCTGGCCGGTGGATTCCCATTCTACCGCGTGAAATATTTGCGGAGCACCATCTCTTGATTTTTCACAAGCATTAAAAAAATCTTTATATTTTCTACGTATTGAATGAACACGTCGAAACCTGATGTATCAAAAACGATACACGCGACCAACGGAAGGTTAAGATCGTTGGGTGTTCTCGTATACATCGCGTGTGTAACCATTATAAATTTGAAGTGATTAGAACAGAGTAAGTATGAGTAAAAATTTATTTGAAATTGTAGTAGTAGTACTAATTGGAAATTATTGTAGAATTATGCCGAAAGTAAAGTCGTCCATGTCAGGAAAGTTATCCCAATATGTGCGTGAATATCCTGTATTCAAAACTGATGGTAAGGTACTTTTTTGCAAAGTATGCAACAAATCTGTGTCAGCCGAAAAAATATTCTCGGTAAAACAGCATCTAGCAAGTTTAAAACACATAGAATTAGAGAAAAAAAAATAATGAGAAGAAAACTACTCAGCCTTTTTTTGCTGAATGTTCCACATCCAAATCAAAAGATATTCAATTTGCAGAAGATCTATGTAGCGTACTAATTTCAGCTGACATACCTCTATATAAAATGCGTAACAAAAAATTAGTATCGTTCCTAGAGTCATACACAGAGTACAAAGTACCATCTGAAACTACTCTTCGCACAAAGTATGTTAAGGAACTTTACCAAAATACCATAGAACACATACGAAAATGTATCAACGGTCGCTTCTTGTGGCTCTCAATTGACGAAACCACAGATGCAACAGGAAGATATGTGGCAAATGTCATCATTGGTATTTTGGATAATAATGAGTAGATTGCGAAACAAAATTTTTTGTTAAATACAGCAGTGCTTGATAAAGCGAATCATAGCACTATTGCAAGACATTTTGATGATTCTGTTCAGATTTTGGGTGAGACTTTCAACAGAGATATGATTTTACTCTTTGTATCAGATGCTGCTCCCTACATGGTAAAAGCAGCGAACGCGATACAAACGTTTTATCCAAAAGCGACACACTTAAGGGGGCGGTTCAAAGCGTCCATTTTTATATACGCCGGGAGAGGTTACGTAGATGTACATTCACGACTTAATGCTACATATTTATAAAAAAGTAAATACGTAGGNACTCCATATCACCCGCAGACAAATGGGATCGCGGAAAGACTTGTAAAAACTTTTAAGAATCGCATGAAGTGTAGTGAAAAAGATATAGATCTAAATACGCGAGTGCAATCATTTTTAACTTCATATCGAGCAACCCCTACTAGAACGACCGGACGAACACCGTACGAACTTATGTTTGGTCGGCTCATGAGAAATAAGTTTGATCAACTGAAACCGGATGTACACAGACGACTCGATGAGGAGAGTATAAGACAAAAGCAATGTTATGATCGACACCATGTAAAAGAGAAATCTTTCGAGATAGGAGAGCCTGTTTGGGTCAACAACCCGTTAGCGGACGGATCAAAACCGGGCCAGATAGTTGAAAAAACAGCACCGTACTCTTATATTGTAGATCTGGGAAATTCTGTAAAACGAAAGCATGCAGATCAGATGAGATCTCGAGTAAAATCCCCTCTTAATGATGTACCAACTACCCCAGAAAAGCCAAAGGAAATATTCACGGAAATTGACGAATCAACCAGTATGGAAGACACAAAATGTGACACTCCAAAGGAAAAGATACCCCAACCTGAGATTATAACAGATCGGGAGTCCGAAACGAAGCCTAGACGGAATCCTATACGGGATCGACGACTTCCGGCGCGTTATCAAGTTTAAATGAGGGAGGGATGTAGTATTATGGCGACATCTAGCGGCAAAATTGTAGAACGCTCACGTGTTAACGAGTGCAACGACGACCAAGGACAGTTAACACACGACCACCAACTTAGAAGCATCACCTAGTTTAAGTGAAATCAAACTGTTTTAATCATTTAAGTTGTTTTATGTTATTCAAACAATATAACATAGTTTTTTGAACATTTTTAAATTGTACTTTATTATAATAAATAATAATACCACAAACATAAACTCCAAAAGTCTAAAGTTCAATTTACGGAAAATTTTTTCTAATAACAATTTATGAACACTCCACATTATTTCACAATATTGTACATTATTATCTTTCTATAATTCGACACGTTATGCAACAATATATACTCTATATATTGAAGGACATTTGAGTTTTTCATTCACCAAAATACGTTCGTTGGTGTAGTACATACACGTCATTTAAACGCTTCTAGTCATAATGGATTCAATAAGTGAGAATGTAAAAAAAGCAATAGAATCAGTTATAAAAATTGAAAATTTTACAACGTACCCTTCAATTACGATCACATCGGGTTCGCTAAACGGCGATGGTTTAACGTCAAAAACGGTAGCTGTTAACTTAAAAAACGATCAAAAATCTGTTGATGTGTTTATAAAGTATTTCCCAGAAAATGCTACGAGTAACCAAATAAATTTATTTAAAGATATCTACGAAACGGAAACGCGGTTCTACGAAAAAGTGTATCCGGTGATGGTGAAGTTTCAAAAGGAGAGAAAATTGCAAGATGGATTCGATAATGTTGCAAGATATTATCCGTGTAATAATGTTGATTTTAATGGAATTGCCCCGATAGCGTTAAGTAATTTGAGAGCTGTTGGGTATGGAATGAGGGACTTAAAAGAAGAAGCCAATCAAGAACTTTTGGTGAAAGTTTTAGAAACTTACGCTAAACTTCACGCCACTTTTTTGGCGATGAAAGATCAACAACCAGAAGTGTATAAAAGTATCTCTTCTGAACTTGTTGACGACGTTGCTGAAAAATTTAACGATGTCGGATTTTATGATGTAATTAAAGTGTTAATGAAAGGATTAATTGATTATTTAGACCCAAAAGTGGATAAAATTGCAATCGAAAAACTTACAGAATTTTTAAACAATTTAGAAACTTTCGTTTCTGATATTCCAAACTTAATCACCAATGATTATTCAATAATAACTCATGCGGATGGTTGGAGTAACAATATGATGTTTTTATACAATGTACTTAATTTAAATTTGAATATTATTTGTTTTAATTATTTTTAATTTTCGAAGGAATCAAAACGTTTAATCGACGTAAAAATCCTCGATTGGCAAGTTTACAAAATCTCCTTCCCTGGATTGGAAGCCACCCACGTCTTCTACAACGCTTTAGCTAGGAAAAAAGCACTGGAGAATGTTGAAATTTATACAGAAGCTTACTATAATAAATTGAAGGAGCAAGTTGAAAAACTAGGAAGCGACGTTAATAAGTTGTATCCAAAAGAAGTATTTTTAGCCCACTGGAAACAGTTCGCCAAATACGGAATGATGTTAGCAATTGTAACAAATAGGGTTGCTTTTATGTCTAAAGACGATATAGTCGATTTAGTTGATAACAAGGATGGAAAAATGCCGATATTTTCGGTTGATTTTAAAGAGAAAGATCGATATTTTAAGCTTTTAAAGGATTTGGTGGATCATTTTGTTCAAAATGATTTATTTTAAATGTTATGTTTTTAAATAAATTTTTTTTAAATAATAAATTTTTTTTAAATAATAAATTTGTATGTATTATTAATTGTTCGAGTATCTTTTGATTGCTACTAAACACTTTATGAATCTTAAATTCAACATCACCATATTGATATCTTCAATGTTGTATCATTGATTTTAGTTCTTTCATCTCAACCAATATCAATGCTCAGTGTCTGCTTTTTTATTGTTGGTTTACTTAGAATCACCAGAAATGCCAGCTTAAACTGGTTTTTGTGCGCACATGTGGCGATGCCAAGTTCTTATTGTTATTATTATAAGGCAGTGTCGTTTACACATAATCATCAAATGTTCAAATAATTTTTTAGTTTTGATAGTAAATTAAGGGGGCGGCTCAAAGCGTCCATTTTTATATACGCCGGGAGAGGTTACGTAGATGTACATTCACGACTTAATGCTACATATTTATAAAAAAGTAAATACGTAGGCTTGAAGTACATATATTACTCTACGGAATGACATATTTAGTATTCTAAAATAATCATGACGCTGACAGAAATAAATTACGAAAGTTAGTCATAATAAGGGCTTAATACAAATCGTTCTCTAGAAGAGATTAGGGACTTAAACGAGGTGGCAAATATGTCATCTAATGCTTATGTATCTTAGGAACAGATTCCGTATTCGTAAAAGTGCAATAGCTGTGTGATTATTTCATGAATGTGTTTTTTCTGAAGATATGCGATTTTGTCACAATTTTTAGTCATTACGAAAAGGTGTAAAATGGGTTGCCTAAAATCGACAAAACAGTACTAAGTAAACCTTTGGCAATTACTTTGTAGATGGCTTTAGGTACTAATTAAAAATTTAAAAAAAAAATAAATATAAAAAATAATTAATTGCCAATAAAATGTTATAAAACGTATTATAAATTGATTACTAATCTTGAGTTGGTAATAACATTTGTTCATGGCCAATTTCTCTTTTAACTACTGAGTAAATAAATATATATAACAGATAGAAGATTTGTAGGCAATTATGAATGAGTTGCTGATCACAGTCCTTCCGCCCTAATTTTTAGTGATTATATTAACACTGAGAAAGTAAGAAATAACACAGCAAATTGTTATCAAGATATAAGAACATAAATAATCTAAAGTAAAGTAATAATAATTTGTAATAGACATAGATAACAATAATACTATTTATTCAAAAAAAAAACGGTTCTACATTATAAAAAATAATAAAAATCAATAACAACTTTAATTTTATTTTACAATAAAAAAACCATCTTAGAATAACAATTTTTACAAAACTATTTCACAATAAAAAACCATCATATACAGGGTGTTTCGGTGACTCGGGGAACAAATGTAACCACATATACTAGAGTGAAAATGATGACGATTCATGTAAAAAAAATTAGTAAAAGTCCTCAAATTGCAAAGATACAGGCCATCAAAGTTATGAAATTTTAACACATTTTTCTAAATATCTTAAACACTATTTATGGTAAAGCGTTGAAATTTGGTACAGCGTAAACTAACATCACGTAAAATCATTAGGCAATTTTTGAGTTGGATCGGTACGCGGGAACAATGCTATACAGGCTGTTCATAAAGTTTGTTTGCTCAGAACTTTTTTATCCTATCATTACCCTACATTTATTTTTGCATTTTCTAATAGTAAATTTAGTTTAGAAACTTTTATCACTCTTAGAGAATATTGATAAAAACCACCGTTTCCGTATTAAATGCAAAAATGTTAGGCTCCGAATTCAATAACACTAAAAAAAATAAATAAATAAATAATTTGAATTAGCAATGACAAGTGAAAATCGAACTGAGCTGTCATAACTATTATGTATGCAACATGTCCAAGTGTAGATTTAGCTAAATCACATTTTTAATTTGTTTTAGTTGGTTTAATAAAAGAACTCAAAAACAATAAATTAAAAATCAACACTAACAGGAATAATAAAAAAAGTACATAAAATAACAAGACAAGTAATAAAAAATACTAAAGGATGTTCAAAAACTTAGATTTCTTTTTTTTAGTAATAGCACTATTGAAATCGGAACCCAACATTTTTGGATTTAACACGAAAACGGTGATTTTTATGAATATTATCTAAGAGTAATAAAAGTTTCTAAACTAAATTTACTATTAGAAACTGCAAAAATAAATGTAGGGTTATGAAAGAATAAAAAAGTTCTGAGCAAACAAACTTTAGGAACAGCCGGTAAGCATTGTTCCCGCGGACCGATCCAACTCATAAATTGCCTAACAATTTTACACGACATTGATTTATACTGTACCAAATTTCAGCGCTTTACTGTAAATAGTGTTTAAGATATTTGGAAAAATGTGTTAAAATTTCCTAACTTTGATGGCCTGTATCTTTGAAATTTGAAGACTTTTACTATTTTTTTTTACATGAATCGTCATCATTTTCACTCTAGTATATGTGGTTAAATTTATTCACCGAGTTACCGAAACACCCTGTATACAATATAATCAAGTGACGAATTCAGTAATGTTGTAAAATTAAATGCATGAATATTGTTGAAATATTAATCATTGACTGACGAAATTAAACCGATTTTTTTTATCAACTTTGACAGCTCATAGCTCGAAAACAAAAGAGTTGGGACCCTATGTTTATATAAAAAACTTGTGTTATTTTGGCAAGTACTACATCCTAGTAAAGCTTCCCGATTAAAAACTGATCCATCCTGTATATGGCCAAAAATCTGATTCCTGTGGAATTGGGTCGAAAATGTTTAATATTGTTGTAATACATTGTTAATGTTGAGTTAGGATCTAATACTGGTAAAAAAAAATTGTGTTAACCAAAATTTAAGTAATAGAAATATTTGAATAAATAATTGAAAATAAAAATTAATTGTTTAAAAGTAAAAATGTTAAGTTATGAAAATAACACCAAATAATATCGAGAATAGGCATCGCGTAAGGCTAAACCAGAATATATTCCTCAATGAATAAAATATTTCAACGGTAGGATGACTAATTGTAAGCTGATATAAAAAAGCGTCGCTATGAATAACTGAATTGAACTCTCGACGACCTCTTTTAACCAACAGCGGAACTTTACAAATTTTTTTTGCACTTTTGCGAACATCACGTGATTGAACCGCGACCTTAACATCATTTAAGACCGACTACCGCCATCTCGTTTAAATAGGAACACTAAAAAGCGAAAAACGGAACGTACTCTGTAATATATTGCGATTCTTTTAATTTCAAAAATATTTTACTGTAATAAAAAAACACAGAAAGAGTCAGACTATTTAGAATTTCAAGACTCCAATGCTAAATATAATAATGTCTCTGCAAGTGATTCATCGCTGCCCTTCTTTTAGATTCAGCTTCCCAGATTGATGAGCAAATTTAGAGTTTAATAACGTGAATGAAGAATCAAACTAACAATAATGTCTTAACGTTTATTTTTCATAAAATCAATAATCAAAATAATCTTTTAAAAGGAACTAAAAATCAAGATTACATTTTATGTATCTACATTCGAAGTTATACTCAAAATTTAAAAAAGAACATCATAAATACATTGCATCCTGCCGGATTATTCACATACCACAATTAAAAGTTCTTTTACACGTTTTAATCCTTTTATCATCCCGGTTCTTAATAACTAATATTTCGGGTCAACAATATTGTTTTATTATTTTTTTTTTCAACATGTATGTATATTTTATAATAATAACATTGCGTTGCTATAATAATGCGAAACTATCCGCACGTTTTGTTCATATCTTTTTTTTTGGCCTATTATACAGCTTATTTTGCGACTCATTTTTCTTAGATTAATATTAAATATGGTATTATAATATTATATTAAGATAATCCTATAATTTAAAATACACGCATATATTTATTTGAAATAAATAAATACGTATAATTTTATTAGTACTTTTATTATAATTAAAGCTGATTACTATAGGTAGTATAGTTATTTTTATACACAAAGAAACAACCACCTTTTATTATTTATTTTTGTTCTTATACCTGCTAAAATTAAATTATGTTAATTCGAAATGTGTAAGCATAAATGCAATCGTGATATGATTTTGTTAAATTTATGAATACAAGCCAAGTTTTGTTTATATTTCGTGTACATCAATTTAATATTGTCTGTTGATATTTTTATGTACACTTTAAATAAATAATAAACTAAAGTAATCGAATTAAATTAAATTTAGGTAAATGTGGACTACAAATATGTATATACAGTTCATGGAAAGTTTAAATACTTTTATTTTTATATTTTATAATAGACTATGTATTGTAGTCATATTCTCAGTTTATTTTATCTGCATGTACAGTTTGTACAAAAATTCTTCGCGACAAGACCGTCTGTTATTTTATTATTTGTATGAAAGGCAGTGTTTTCTAATCTATGATTTTTAAGTTTCTGATAATACATCATGAGATAATCTAAATTGTAATGATTTTTTTATTTGGCAATTGTATTTATGTTATTACGAGATTTTTTTTTTAATTTATAGTTTTAAAATCAACAAACATGTTTCGATTGCTTGTATAATTAATTATCGACCCAAATTTTCAGTTAAATTTCATAATCACATTAATTTTAATACTTTTTATTTGACTTTGTCTTGTTTATAACAAAAAAGAATAACTAACGGTGTAATTGATCCATACTTTTCAAGTTTTAAATAAACAAATGTTTCATTTATATCTTCCTTAATGTTTTTATTTGATACCCAAATGCTTTTTGTAATAAATATAAAAGATAAATTAATTAAAAGAATCAATAAAAATATTTAATAAAGAACATTCGATTTTAAAATAACAAAATAATCAACATTTAAAAGAAAATTTCGGAAATTAACTCATCATCAAAAGTTTATGACGGGAAGTGTTTTTTTTTTTTAATTTGTTGTTTGAGCTTGTGACAGAAATGGCACTCGCGCTGTTTAAACTTGTTTTTTTTTAAACGTGTGTAAATCCGTTTGTGCTCCAACGTATGAAACGACAATTTGGAACTTGTTACAATAACGCGATGTATTTTCGCATGGCAGCTAATTGTCAGCTGACGTCGTCGTTTCACGTCTGCAGAGCCGTATTAATCTCGTCGTGAATAGTCACCAATTCCTGAATACGCCCGGCTAACTGTTGATTCAATGTAACCAATACCTGCCTTTGGGATTCATGCGCACTTAGCGCCACCTCCAATTCGGATTGAGATAATTTCGCCGTCGTTTGCAAATCTTGATTTTCTTTCTGTAAAGCCTACATCAAAAATTATATTTCTAAAAAAACACCACAAATAAAATTATTTTACCTGGATGATATCAGATCCTTTATGTGCAACAGTTAACTGTTTAATTTCACTATTCTTAAGTTCAATTTCCGTTTCGAGCTGCTCAACTCGCTGCATAAGGCTTTGTATTTCCTTCCGCAAGTCATCCGCGACTTCACCACCACCTGTAATAGAATTATAAAAAAATACGGAAAACGATACATACTTAAAATCCAGTTACATTGTTAAAGAATTTTCAATTAATTAATCAATTAATTATAGGCGATCTTTTCACCGTAACCATTCGGTACGATTTGAACGCGATGACGCTTTTACGCCAAATTCGTAATAAATGTTGCTTATTGCTCGAGTCGTAAAAGAGAAAACGCTCTCGCAGCTTGGGGAAGTATTTTCCCAATAGTGTTTTTGACGAGAACAAGCTGCTGCCCGTATCTCTCAAGAACTGGACATAATCATCAAAACGAGATGATTATTTGAAACGAGTACTCTATTACGCAATATCAACAAAATTACTATTTAAATAAGTTTAATTTAAAGTGAATGTTTGGTCTAATTTCGAAACATATTATTTGATCATAATAAAAGTTACCAAAACTTTTATTAGTCATGCATTGTAGTTAATATAATGAGTTGATGCTCTATTTAATGATTTTACAATTTACATGATGAATAATTTTTTATGTAGATCTTGACATAAATTTTATTTTAAAAAATAAAAAAGCTTTTTTATATGGAAACGGGTTATTTTATGAATATAATAAATCCTCGCCATGTGTTTAATTAACTCGAGGAAACGAAACTAATTAATAAGAAACAAAATGATCGTTAATCAAAATTTATTGCGCCGTCGTTTCGATGATAAAGGCACGTGGCGAATTGTCTCCCGTTTAATTCCGCTTCTTCATTCCATATTATGTCACCGAAATGGACTACTTTCACAGCTATTAATAACGAATTATCGGTAACGTGCGCGCTAACCGTTTGACGCGCAACAACGCAGGAAATAAGGTTTCAATGTCTGCACCGCGTACGAGACGGCACGCACATTGACCATCTGTCTTTGGTAACTTACGCAAAACACCGTTCATGGATTTAAACAAAACCGACGTTAAAACCATAATAATTTTACTTCTAAACGATTTTGTTGTTTTTATTAACAATTTTCCCTTAATTTCTATGACTTAAGTTGATTACTTGATGGAAAATAATTTCCAGGATTTTCTCTTAACCCCTTTAGTCATTAAATTTTTTACCGCAAGTCTCTACAATGAATAGTTTCCAAAATACAGTATTTTACACGATTATTTGGCCACCTGTACAGGGTGTCCCAATTTCGATGTCCGCATAGGCTATCTCCGAAACTAAAAGAGATAGAAAAAAAGTAGCTTACATGTCATGATCTCGTTTTTCGAGAAAATGCTAATGCCGAAAACTCCGAACAGCTATCGTCTTTTGTTTTCGCCCTATCGGCAAAAACTGAAAATTTTGCAAAAACGACAATGGCGAATATCTCACTTATTATCAAAGATGGAGAATTATAAATACAACATTATATATCCTGAGTTTCAACAT